CGGGAGGTGATAAGAGGGAGGAGAGAAGAAACGAATCCGCGACAACCGAATTAACTTCTCTAGGCATCCCGATCTTTCCTCGTTTTGTCATTGTCCCCGCGGATAAAGATCTACCGAGCTCGCGCACACTCTACGCGCGTACCTACACACACACACACACACGCGCGCGCGCGCACATATATATATTCTTAGCCCTTTACGAGCGGGGGAGGAGGATGGTGCGTCCTTCTCTCCGAGCGGGTTTCTATAAAATATGAGGGACATTAATATTCCAAGCCTGGCGAGAAGAGGCGCGGCGCGGTGGATGGAAAATGGTAGAACTGCCGAGATAAAGTAGAAACTACCGTCCACTCGGTATTTCGAGACATTCCGTGCCCTGCTTTTCGCCACCACTCTGTAATTACCCTCTTCTCCTCCTCGCCTACCTACCTAGCGGAGAGTACTGTAATACTTTTTTTTCCGCTCGCTTCTCCACCGATTCTCCACCGGTAAACGCGACGTTTCCGTTTCTCCCCCCACTCGTGAACGACGTGTTTTAAAAGTTGCCGGTCAACGTTTTATCATATATCGTTTACGAGGATGGAAAATAGCGAAGACGGGGAAGAAGGACGAGGGGGAGAAGCTAGGATAGATAGCTCGGTTACGTCGTAAGCTCGCGGTGGTCCTTGATCGCGATTGGACGAGACCGGAGCGAGATTGGATCTGCGAGTATCGATCATGCATCGGGCAGAGCTCCTCCGTTCGAGTACTAATGGAAAGACTGGTATTCATGTGAACGGCCTTCGGGGCTTCTGCCAGGCCGTTGCCTGCACCGTCAGTCCTTTCCTTCTCTTCTCTTCTCTTCTCTTCCCTGCCTTTTATTACTACTTCTTTCCTTCCTCCTCTTATTCCCTCTATTCGTTTGTCCTTCTCTTCTTCTCCCGCCCCTCTCCTCCCCGTTCCTAGCTGTTTTTTTTCATTCTCTTTGTTCGAGCGGGCCGCTAGCTTTCTCTTTCGCGCGGCTTCGGATCCCCGTATATCTGTCATCCGCGCCGCGTCGTTAGAAGAGAGAGAGAGAGACACACTGTTTATTGACACGAGTCGTCGTCGAGTGGCTCGTCGCGTTTCCTCTCTCTCCCCGCGTTCCCGTGAACGTTCGGCGAAGTGTGCTCGCGCGCGCGCGGCTTACCGCGCTTCCAGTTGAGATCGCGGCGGCGCCACGCGCGTCTTTCCGTGGCGAGAGAATTTCGCGAGCGCGAGATCGAGCGGATAACGAGACTCGTAGAGTGGCGCGAATCGAGACGGGTGAAAGACGTGGGTAGAGAGAGAAGGTATAAAAGGACAAAAGAGATTGCGAGAGGAGTTTCGAAGATCCACGCGTCGAGAATTTCCTTCGCTTCGAAAATTTCGATCTCTCGCGGACAGACAGAGAAAAAGAGGTCGGTCAATCCTCTTTTCCACGAGGAGAATGATCGTAAATCGTCGAATTAATTCTTGTCGAAAAGTTGGTGTTGGAAGCAAAGACGTCGGGAAAGGAAATTGCCAGCCCCCTCGGGAAACTGGCGGTGTGTAACGGTTGCTGCTCGAGGAATCCGTAACATAAAGTAGAGCCCCGAAGCCGTAGGAAGAACAGAGGTTCTCTGATTCTCCGAGACTCGATTCTTAAAATCCCTTTCTTTCGTTCCTATACGCGAATCGTTGTTATAATTATCAAAGTTTCCTCGCTCGGGCCGAATTGGAACGATACTCTTGAATATAGAACGGAGGAGGAGAATCGACTCGAGAGGGAACCCCTCGTACGTTTTTTCCCCCCGGCTGTGTGCTATCTCGAAGAAGCGGGTTATCTCGTTGCCGATCGAACGGGGTGCCGAGGCGGCATTATTTTTCTTCTCTCTCTCTCTTCTTTTTTTCTTCACCCGGTGTCCCCTTCCGTTTTCCTTGGAACGAGAACGTGGGGGTGCTCGAGGAGCCCTGCTCGTGAAATTCCTAATTAAGATTCGGGAGCCGAAAGTCTGGGAGGAGAAAGAGAGAGGAGAGGAGAGGAGAGGAGAAGACCCTCGCCGTGTCCCGGCTTCTCTCCCTCTCCTCGCGGCTTTCTTGCTAGGCGTAGCCGCGGGCCATTGCGACTCTCTCTCTCTCTCTCTCTCCCTCGGTCGTTACCCACGTTGTTCCATTGTTGGATTATCGTAAACACAGTTTCGTTACTGCGATAAAGATGGCGAGGCTTTCGGCCGAGAGCGTCGGACGCCACCCCCCCTCCAGGAGAAAGGGAAAGCGAGACTCGAAGTGGAAACTCGATTTTCTCCGGTCGGGATGGCCATTCTTCTCACCCACCTTTTCGCCCACCTTGTTTTCTTTCTCTTTTAACGATATCTTTCCAAGACGAGGCGAAACGAGATTTTGGCATTGGCTCGCCATTGGTCTGGAAAAATATTTGCATCGAGAGGGAGGGATCATGATTGGGATATTTTTAATTTTAACTCGTTAATTTGTCATCGTGCCGATGTCGACGAGTTTCCTCCGAAACTCGACTGTTTCACCGAGATTCGGAATAACTCGAGGCGTCAAAGGTCGAAGCGATGACACGACGAGCGCGAAAGAGAGGGAGAGCCGCACAATGGGAGCGTAGAGGAGGAAAGGCTGCAGGTGGAGAGATCGTTTCGCCGCGTACCATCTGGACGTCCGTTATTATCGCACGTGGCTCGACGAGTCGTCCGACGAGTCGATCATTAACCAAATCGATCGATCGAACGCCTGACGAAACGAAACGCCTCTCTCGCGTTTCCCTTTCGCGATCTTCAAGTTCCAGCTTCCTCTCCAAAATTCCACTGCCAGGAAAGGAGCGTCCGTTTTAAAACTCTGGCAAAACTGTGGGCGAAATGCTGTGCGTCGAATTCGAACGAACGACGCAGCGTATGTCGCGTTGGGGATATCGATGGCGCATTGGAGGGCGACAGATGCCTCGATTCGCGTGCTGTCACGCGCGAGTAATCGAGTGTATAATGGATTCCTAGGATACTGGCGCGATACGTCAAACTGACAGGTCCAGGGGGCGTCCGATCCTTTTCGATATATTAAACCCTCGCCCCCTCGTCCTAATTCGTGATTACGATTTTTCCCTTCCTTCCTTCCTTCCTTCCCCTCCTCTCGTCTCGACGAATATCGCGAATTAGCATAAGATCGGTCCCACCTTCCCTTCTCGATCAACGAACGAGGGGTCGAAGGGGGAAGGGGGCAGGAATTACATCCAGAAAGAGACGGCAATTCGGAGATGGAGAAACGTGCCAGCTCGTCTGCCTCACGATCATTGCCCGGCTACGCCCCTCGCGCGCCAACGCTCGTCGCCGTCTCGAAATAGTATCGGGGGATATCTTTGGACCAGACTCCATTCACACTCCCGATGTTGGGCCGAGCCTCGTTCTTGTCGTCGTCGTCGTCGTCGTCGTCGTTCCTCGTTTTATTGGCTTGGCCTGGCCGCCTGTCTGTCTGTTGTTGGCCAACCGACCGGCCCGTGGTTTCCGACGTCGGGATAAATTGCGTTGCTGAGCGTACGTTTTTCGAGAATCCTCCTCGAGAAAGAGAGAGTTGGTGGTGTCTGGGAAACGCTGTGGAGGCTAGTACGGTCCTACGTACGGTCGAGTTTTCAGCCCCCTCGCGGCCGAGCAGCCCTCCTCGTGACGTGCCGTCGTCTCGTCGTCGGAAGGGGGAGGGCGCGTTCAGCCCTTCCGACGACACGCCGAGTTAACTCGAAATATTACGACGCCGGTTAGCCTCATTATGGGGCGCGCGAAACGATAATTGTATTTTTTTCGCCAAATAGAGAATCCGATTGATCGCGAATCTTTTTCGTGAATTCATAAATCGAGAGAAGAGAACAATTTGTCCCTCGACGATATCTCCTCCCTTCCCTCATCCGAAGAGAAATCTCGGGCGAGAGTAAGAGCGCCGTTCCTTAAATGCCGTTCGTATCGGTGGCGAATAGACCATCCTTGCAACGCGTATATCCGGTCAGCCACGACGACCCTTCTTCCCGGGATCGAACGAATCCACCTTCTCCGAAAAAAAAAAAAGAAAAAGGAAAAAATGAGAAGGAACCACGTCTGCGATCCACCACTGCGCTCCTCGTCTTCGAACGAGGATATGGCATCCTCGAGGAAAGGAGAGAGGAGGAAAAAAAATTCCGCTCGATCGAATCTCCGACGCTCGTACAAGTTGGCGTCGAGTTAATTTAACTTTCGCGATTCGTAGCCCGCGGCCGCCTCCGAAACGGTCGAAACGGAGTGGAGAAATGTGATGCACGTAGCGGGTGGAAGAGAGGAGGGTGGTACGTGCGGGCTCGACGTGCTGCCAACCCCAAGGGCGAGGGATGCGCGAGATATATATATATATATATATTAAGATCCACGAGCCCTCCACTAGATAGCTAGACTTGGAACTTGGTCCACCCTCTAAGTCTTGGCTACCCCTCCTCCTCTCTGGCTGCTACACCATCGGAATTGCGATTATGGTGGCGATATTACGGTCGGTCGAGGGAGAAAGGAGAGGAGGAATCGTTTCGTACACGCCCCCCCCTTCCTCGCTTCGTTTCCACAGGCTTTATTGGCTTTATCCCGGCGTCTATTTGCACGGAGTGTACACGCCGGATCGAAGAAATAGAAAACGGAGTGAAGTGGTCTATCTCTATGTTATCGATAGACGTTTCGCCTCGTTTCGGGTAGCGGCGATTCTTAATTTCATCGAATTGCCGCGGAAACGAATAACAACGCGGAACGAAACTTTTTTCCCCTTCTTCCTCTTCCTTCTTCTTCTTCTTCTTCTTCCATATCGATGGATGGTTATATCTTCTCGCTCGAAAATACTACGTTTCGAAAATAATTTAATCCCCATTTTTAATCCCCGAACGAATCGTTAATCCGTGGAAAGGATTGGAAGGATAGCCGCCGCTTTCGACATAATTTTCGAGAGGATTAACAACGATCGATCGATACCGCGATGCTTGTATTTACGTCCGCTCGACGAAAATGGCGGCAGTGGAGCGGAAATATCGGTGGCCATTGAAACGCGGACCGATTCGAAAAGCTGTGGGAATATTTTTCGGAATTGATCTCGAAAACGAAGAATTTTCAAAATAAATCGTGCACATCTCTCGACCCGTAACGATAACGATCGAGAAGGGGCGAATCGAAGGACGGCAAAAGTCACGTTGCGCGAGATTGTTGTAATGTAATCTTGCACGCGGCTACGTGCCGCGAAACGCGTCAAGTGGCGTAATTAATTTCGTTTCGTAAAATCTCTCCACCGCTTAGGGAGAGATTGAAGAAACAGCTTGCCAGCTTGATCGATCTGTCATTCTTTTCTTTCTTCCTCCTCCTTTTTCTCCCCGCGAAACTTCACGCGGAGGGAGGAAAAATCCCCGAAGAATCGGCACGGCGCCGATACAAAAGAGAAACCAATTAAATTCCGCCCGCCGTTCCAACCAACCGCTCCGCACAGAGTCGCTTTTTTTCGTCGGTTGGCCGAGTTAGTCAGTGCGTGCGACGAAAGAACGAAGCGAGCAAAGTGAAAGCGGCGCGGAAAGATAGAGCGCGGTGGAGGGAGGCTGGTTGAAATTTACCGTCCTAACGCAATTTCCCAGGCGATAAAACTGGCGCGTAGGCGTCGAAATAACATCTCCGCGACTTTTCTCTTCGCTCCTCTGATGGCGTACGCGCGATGTCGCCACCATCGCCACGCTCATCGCTTCCCCCTCCCCCCTCGCTGCGCCGAACGAGCATACCTGCCAAAGTCGCCGTTTCAGTCCGTCTCGCGGACAATCGGCTCGAAACCCACCGCAAATTTTCCCGATCCGCCGCACGGTTTTGCTCCGTTTCGACCTTCGTTTCGCCCGTCTACCGAAACGAAATCCTTTTTTTCCTCCTCTCTCTTCTTCCCTCCTGTTTCTCCTCTCCTCCATCGTAATAATCTCTGTTTGCGCCACCGAGGCTGAACCGTACGGCTGAATTTATTGCGGCCTCCCTGCCGGAAACACGTCCGCAAGAAAATCTTCTGGTTAAGAAGGCTGATCTTCTCGATCTACCCGTTTTTTTTCCTCCCCCCTTCTTACCTACGTAGCCCTCTCTATCGAGAGAGAGAGAGAGAGAGAGAGAGAGAGAGAGAGAGAGAGAGAGAGAGAGTAGTAG